TTTAGGGGTCTGGGGGTTTAGGGTTATGGGGTTTAGGGTTTTAGGGTTATGGGGTTTAGGGTTATGGGGGTTAGGGTTTTACACGGTTCAGTATGGGGTTTAGATTTCAGGGTTTAGGGTTACTCATGGGGTTTATTCGGGGACCCTAAACCCGAAACCCTAAACCCTAAACCCTAAACCCTAACCCTTGTGAAAAAAGGGTTACTCATGGGGTTTATTCGGGAGCCTTTTGGCCCGTTAGCCCCAGGCTTCGGAGTTTCGGCTCCTCGAGGAGACGTCACCTTGCACTCCGACATGCGACGAGCTTCAGAAATTTAGGGGTCCTACCCTAAACCCGACACCCTAGAAGCCCGAATAATGATAACAATATTTTTAATAATATAAAAATGACTAGTAATAGTCATAGTAATAGTCAGAATACTACTACTACTACTACTACTACTACTACTACTACTACTACTACTAGGATCCTTATTGTAAGGACCACGAACTGAGGCACCCCCCCCCAACAAATTTCTGAAGCCAGCGTATATGGCAACCGAGGGAGGAAGACTAGTTATCGCGAAGCAGCGGTGATCGTTTGTTGTGTTGGATATCATGTCCTTACCGACCCTCTGTATCAGTCTTTTGATACTTCTCTACTTGAACTTCGTCTTTACAGCCCGCATGGCAATTTGTTTGTCTCTCTGTCTGCTGACGACAGTGGCGCTTGGTCGCAAGATTGAGCCTCCAGCGCGAGCCGAAGTAAGCGTTGTTGGGGTGCATATTTCTGATGTTTCACCGACGCCGGCCCAGCGAAAGAACCTTCTTTCACAGGTTGAAGAAGCTTGAAAGCCCTGTTGGGGTTTAGGCTGTAAAATGCCCAAGCCCTCTGCCTTAATCTTTGGCCCAGGTATCCTGAGAGTGGTCCCACCCTCAACGTTGCTCCGCAACCTTGCCCAGGCTTGGCTAGGGTTAGGGGTTTAGGGGTTTGTGGTTACTCCAGGGCTTCGGTACGTAGGTTTTGGGGAACTCGTGTCCCCAGTGTTGGAGTCGAGGCATGATGCTCACAGACGCAACAATGGCTGCTGTAGATTTACCACACTTCAAATACACTTAAAGCAATGGTATCAATCGCAAGGGTAAAAATGCCATCATATAGGTCTTCAAAGAAGTGTCAGACTGCCAGGAGCAGGCTCACCAACATGTCGACATGTGACTGAGATGACCGGTGTAATAGCAATATTTTCAATATAGGCCATCGTTTGATAGCTCAGTTTGGAACATACAGTCACGCTACAGTACATTGTGAGCACTTGTTGTCTTGCATTTTCATGTGACTGTCTTATTCATCCCGAACCCTAACCCTGGCTTTGATAGCCATCTGGCTCAAGCACACTTCAGCACAGCAGAGCCACTGGGAAAGTTTACCTAAGCTAACTGAGGGTGGCCCGTGCTTCCAGTTTCATCATCCAGCCATGTTCGCCCGAGCAGCCCTGCTTATGACCCTTGGCCTCAAGCCATCAGCGGGTGACTGCCCATCGTGGGGAAAGCCCTTTCCAAGCAACTTAGCAGGGTCGGGCAAGATCAGCTTCGCTAGCATTTACGACGTGACCTACTACGACCAGTACAAGGTGGTCGAGTATTCTGACACGCTGTCGTTCTACGGTTCCAACCATTTGGAAGCATCGCTGCAGGGCACCAGAATCCCGCCCATGGTAGAGAATACCAATGCGGCACCACGAAGCCTACGACAGGCATGCCCGGCGTAGCTTCAGACGCCCGCTTCTTCGAGGTTCCGGTGAAGAACGCAACGGTTGGATGGTTTGGCCCTCTTGCCTTCATTGAATTGCTTGGGGTGTCGCAGTCGATCGACTCGTTCGACATACGCTCAATCTCGTCCCCCTGCATGCAGCTGTTGGAGGTCTGCTATCCCGAAACCCATATGGCATGGGGATGGTCGGCCAACCCCGACTGGACGACCAGGGCAAGCCGCACGGACGTTGTGTTCTCAGACAGCTGGGGTTGGGGTTGGGGCGGCGACGCCACGAAGGACGTCCCCTTCGAGATCCGCTTCGACTTCGGCGGCCTCATCAGCCAGGCCGAGTGGATCAAGTTCATGGCCCTCTTCTACAACGAGGAGGCTCAGGCTGAGCATATCTTCGAGCAGGTCAAGGCGGACTACAACGCTCTCAAAGCCATCGGGGACCAGCTCCGCATCGACGCCAGCACCGAGTACAACGGGGCGCAGCCGAAGGTGATGTTCGTGAGCCAGGGTGTCGTCTTCAACGAGGTCACCAATCACGTCATGAACCCTGTCTACATGACCGAGCTCATCGCAGGCGCAGGTGCCCAAGTGGTCCCATTGCCGACCGTAACCCCCACCGGGTGCAGATTCACCGAGGACACAGATGCTGCGAGGACGATGAGTTGCGAAAGCCCGGCTGGTGACGCAGCCTTCATAGCTCTCCGCCTCGGCAATCGACGACTCCTTTCTGCCAGCCTACGACCCAGCAAACTACCGAGGTTTCGGCACGATCTACAACGTCACCCCCGATCAGGTTCCGGCTCTGGCGCGAAACCCGCCGAACATCTTCCGCCTCGATGGGCAGGTCAGTGATCCTTATCGTTTCGAGAGCACTGTCGCTTCGAGTTGGCGGACCATCGGGTATTCAGAGCCGCAGCAAGCCCTGGCGGGCCTGATGGAGGCGATCTGGGACAGGGACTTCACCAGCACCTGTGGGCAGAAGTACTTGTGGCGGGTTTCCAACCTCAGCGCCCAGAGTGTGGTCGGTCACCAGGACTGCCCCCTCTACAGCGCTCATGGCCAGAACGACTGCCAGTCTCTGCACGGCCGCCTCCACACGCCACCTATGTGCAGCCCGAGGAATGTGTTCCAAACTATGACGACGACGACGACGACGGTTCAGTCGCAGGAGGCGAGTGTCGCGTGTGGAGTGGGAGGTGCGCTTGCTTTGGCTGCTTTGGTGTTCGCGCCCTTCTGGGCAGCATTTTAGTTGGAGGCTTTTTTCTGCAGGGTCTGGGTTGTGCTTCCCGGATAGTGCACCAGAATGGTTGTGAGAAGCGCGATGGATGTCCAGTTCTGGTAGTGCCTGTAGTAGCCGTGAGTGGAAGTTTATGTGTTTGGATCGGTGATGTCGATCCCTGAGCCAATGAGCTCTCGCCCGGTACCAGGGTTTCTCGCCTAAGCAAGTCCGAGAGTGAGTGCTGAAATTTCGCCCTGATACAGGACTGATAGCAGGACTTCGGCTCTGGTGGTGGATTAAAGGCGGCTTCTATGGGATGAGATCTGGGTTTAGTTGAGGGTTTGGGGGTTCGGGACTTTGGGGTTTAGGGTTCGAGGTTTAGGGTTTAGGTGTGAGGGCTCAGGGTATCGTGGGACTGGGTGCCCGATCTTGCCAAACAATGCCTGAGCCTTGCAGCCCTAGGCTCAGATCCGAGAGCTTAACCGGAACTCCAAAACGGACCATCTTTTAGACACGAAAGTCTGTCTACCACAAACCCAAAACAAAATTCCCTAAACCCCAAGCCCGAAAGCCCCTAAACCTTAGAAAGCCAGAATCGCAGGTTTTCAGCAACAACGAATCATGGTCGCAAGCCACTGGGCTACAGATTTCTTCGGGACCGGATGGGCTTTTGGCTTTGAGCTGTGCGTGGCGCTTTGGGCTGTAGGGTGTAGGCTGTTGAGTTTTGCATGGGGTTCTTTAGGCGTTCTATGACGGGTTCTGTAATTTTCTATGAAGGGTTCTGTAATGGTCCCAGTAAGTTTTCGAGACTGGGTTGTATACGGTTTAGTTTTGAGGGTGTGAGGACTAGTCGCTGACAGTGTGTAGGGGCTTTCATTCAATGCAGGGACCTTAATTCTGGGAGTCTGTATAAGGATCCGGCTCTTCTTTTGAGGGGGGGGGGGGCGAGGGGTACGTTTCTGTTGGACTACGTCAGTGGCGAAATCTGGCGTAGATGCGCTGTCCGCAGGGTTTCGAGATTTTGCGGGGCTGCTGGGGTCACCTAACCGTGCACCCCAAACCCTACAAGCCCCAAGCCGTAAAGGCCCTGGCCCCTAAACCTTCAGCCCGAAAAGGGCATAATTCAGCCCCAAGCCCTAGCAGCGCTCAGTGCGAAACCCTAACAGCTTTGAGCTCTTCGGGTTTAGGGTTTCGGGTTTATATAGGGTTTAGGGTTTAGGCTTAAACCTGAAGCCATGTCAATGTGCAGGGCAGCTTCAGCCCTCGCCCAGGCCTTAAAACCAGCCTCTATGCCAAACTCTAAAACCCTAAAGCCCTAAAGCCCTAAACCCTAAAGCCCTAAAGCCCTAAACCCTAAACCCTAAACCCTAAAACCTCAAGCCCGAAACGATGAATGTGTAAGACAACTCCAGGCTGTAGCAAATGGGCCTCAACAATCAGAATAGTTGGTGGTTATGGGAGCATACATATGTTTGAAGAGAACACTAAGAGCAGTAATATTAATGAGATAATGATACGGACAACGATCGCGGTAGTGATCGTGCCAAGGAGCCTTGAGGGATGACATGGTTAGTTCTTCAGGCTTCTACATCAGCGGTTTTTGTTGCCTCGTCGCCCAGTCTGCTTATGTGAGAACACTGGAAGTTTGGGACAAGTATCCGGTTGACAACATGGAAGTCACGAGCACGTCTGCAACCCCCGCTTCATTCGAGATATGAAATCCCTGAACCTCTAAACTTAGACTCCAAACCGTAAACCATAAACCCTACACCCTGGCCCTTAAAACCTGAACCCTAAACCCTGAACACTGTATCCCGGAGTTAAATTTGGCCGGAGTTAGAGGGATATCTGGTCTTGTGAAATCCGAACACCTGCGTGATAAAACCCGCGGTAGCTCGAGAGATGCTGAGCCCGAGACGGCAAAGGCCATATGGGAGTTTCCGAAAATAAGGGGTACCTTATTTTGGGGTCCTTATAATAAGGATCCTACTATTTAGGGTGCTATATTAGGGTCCCCTATTTTCGGAAACCCCCATATGGGTAGTTCTCTGCATTAGGGGCCCATATAAGGGGCCCTCTTTATATAAGGGTGATGATAGTAAACTGCTGCTTCACTTGGCGCATCTGTTGAAACCGCAGAAGTGCGGTTCACCCCAACGCCGTGTTGAAGCCAACAGGTGGCTTTCCCAAAAGAGATCGAGCCGGCGAAGCCGCCCCTTTGGGTATGTTAGTGGAGTTTTCGATGCCACAGCGTGGGCTCTGGGTTTAGGGTTTCCCAGTTTCAGAAAAGGTATCTGTGCTAAATTTAGTGTTTACACTGAACCTAACGCTTCTTGGAGGTCAGCCCAGTTAGGTATTGATGGGGTAGGGTTTCCGAGAGAGTGCCGGGCTTTGCTGGAGGGCCTAGAGTCACAGAGTCGTTTGGTCTGACCACTCCATGGGGCCCCTGCAGATCCAAGTAGAGGCTCCAAGAACTAAATTATCACTACGAAACATTGTGCACTTTCAGGAAAGACCGGCAATTCCTTCGAAGTCTCTTCGCTCTCTCACAGGGCGCGTATGCTTTCTATCCTGGTGGTCCACGTCGTATGGACTCAAGCGTGGCACCGGAACTGGGCAACTCGCTCGTGTAATACCAGTAATGCAATCGGCGGTAAGAGCAGCAAAGAATATTCACTGTAATCGTGGTCGCAATAGTCACAACCAGCAAGAAATCTGGGCAATGATAACAAAACAACAACAGCTATGCCTTTGTCGACCCCGAACGGTGAAAGGCCCTTTCTTAGTGAAAAAGGAGGCTCTCCAGCCAAGCAACCCCACAGAGACTGTGGCACGAATCCAGGAAGCTGAACTGAACGGGAATGTGACGGGAAGAGCACGCAGACAATAACTAACAGTCAAAGCAATCATGGCAAGACAGCAGTACTAGCAGTAAAGTTCCAATGATGAGTAGAGCATACCCACAACAATAATACAAGCAAGTTACACTACAACCACCACCTCCAACAACAACAACAACAACAACAACAACAACAGCAACAGCAACAGCAACAGCAACAGCAACAGCAACAAAAACAGCAACAGCAAAAGCCACAGCCACAGCCACAGAAACAGCAGCACCAGCAGTAGCAGCAGCCGCAGGCGCAGGCGCAGCGGCAGCGGGAACAGCAACAACAGCACAACAGCTGCCACTACTACCACGACCACTACCAGCACCAGGTCACCAGTACTTACAACTACCACCACGTCTATGACTATTACTACTACTGCTACTGCTACTGCTACTGCTGCTACTACTACCACCACTACCACTACCACTACCACTACCACTACCACTACCACTACCACTACCACTGCTTTACTACTACTACTACTACTACTACTACTACTACGACTACTACTACGACTACTACTACTACTACTAC